TTGCAGGGGGTCACGGGTAACCCGGGGCATGGGCCCCAGGGCACGGGGGGGCACGGGTAACCGGGGGCATGGGGCACCGGGGAGCAGGGGCCTTGGGGCACAGGGGGCACGGGGGTCACGGGTAACAGGGGGCGTGGGGTGCTGGGCATGGGGTTGCGCCAGTTCTCGCAGCACAGGCATCTCAGGCCAGAGATGCGAGACTGTTAAAAACACCAGGTACAGTTCAGAACGCAGAGGCAGGTACCCACCGAGCAGGCGAAATTCTAGCCTCTGTCCCCTCCACCAACACCAGCGTTACTTCCTATGTCTAACTTGGGCGACAACAAGAAACCCGCAAGTCAACAGTCCCCATTTCCCCTGAAACAGTTGTCAGAGGCTTCTGCCTTCTTAGTGTCCCAGGTTAAACTAGAAGCAACGCAGGGCCCAGTGTGTTCGAGGCAGGAGTCACACGCGTCCTGCCTGGAGGATTTGCAGAGTCCAGTGAACTCATCGGGTCCAGAGAGGCCCAGGGAGGATGGTGATGCCCGAGGCTGTCCTGACGCTTCCTATGCCACGTGCCGTGTCTGGGGACGCACGGCTCTGAGGCTGGGCCATAGGAAAGTGCCATTTTTGTAGGTCGATAGGGTCCGATGTTGGCATCTTCATCTGGTGCCTCCTAAGAGTTCTAATAGTTCCAGAGACCCAGGAATCCCATGGCAGATGCTGGAAGAGAACGTTCTCAAGGCTCCGGGGTTAAGAAGGTGAAGAGGACACCCGGGGACTGTGAAGGACCGACTGCGCCCTCATCCCTCAGACTGTGGGCTTTCTCAGTAATTTGGGGGAAATAGAGCTCTGCCCTGGAGCCACCCTACGCCCCTGCCCTGTGCTTCATCACCACCCGGAGCCCCCGGGCACTGAGGCGCCCCTCAGTGGGCTGAACGCATGGGGCCCGCTCCTCTCCCTATGCCCCTGGGCCTCTCGGAAAGACCAGCTCCAGCCTGTGCCGCCGCATGGAACTTCCCAGCAGGGTGGCAGGAACTCTGGACCTGTGACCAGAACGGGAGAACTGGGGGTTGTGGGGCAAACACAACTTTGCCACAGTGCACACGTGGGTGCCCCAAACACTCCTAAGCCGGATAGTCCCCTCCCCTTCTCCAGGATGTCCCTTGCTCCCTCCTGCCCCATACAACCCTCCGTCCATACCTGAGCTGCACGTTGCCATCACCTTTAGCAACCCGAGGATCTGGCCCAAGAAACCACCTGGGAGAACTGGGTGGATTCCTCACATGACATGACATGACAGTACACCTGCTTGTCTGTCCCTGCTAGGGAGGAGGCGGCAGCCAGACTGTCCTGGCAGGACTGGAGAAGGACAGTGAGCACGTGCTGCCCACTCTGCACCACCTTCTGTTGGTCATGGCTGGATTTAATGTCTATAGTGGGGAAGGTGGCCTTATTTTCTTAACTAAAGGCTTATGGCAGAAAACACAGGTCCCTGTCATCCCCTTGGACCCCCTCATTTGGGCCCCCAGAGACAGCTACTTGCAGAGCCTCTAGCTGACTATTCTGAATTTTATTCCAAATTTCCAAAAACACGCTTAACCTCCATGTCTTCATTTCTCGGCCTAAGCTGGGTCCTCTCTCGATGACTCCTCCCCATCAGGGACTCTACTCCCACTCCCCCAGCCTCCCCCTAAATGACACGGGCCCAGTCTCAGCAGGAACAGGTGTCACACACAAAAGAGGTCACAGAGGAGACTTTAGGGAAGGGTGATTCACGAGGTGTGGGCAGCATCACAGGAGACTCACTGAGGCCTGGTTCTGGGGGCTCCCCGGCCTGGAGAGCGGGTGCAGGCCACAGACAGCAGGGTGGCCACGGGGAGTGGAACTCAGTGCTGCTGGCTCCCCCCCAGCCAGGAAAAGAGGGAGCAAACACCCAGGCCTCCCTCTCTTGCCTCTGATTTCCATGTCTCCTGCTGTCCAAACCCAGCCAGGAGCCAGGGGGCCGGAACGCGTGCGTGCCACCGTGAAGGCCCGCTTCTGGGCACAGAGTGAGCGGGACGGGGAGAGCCGGTCTAGGGAGCAAAAGAGAGAAGCACACGTAGTACTTGGGTTCCATCTTGGCAGGTGAATGTCTACTGCTTGCATCACAGTTGCTGTGTGAGCGTTGTTCACCAAAGGCCCATGGAGTGACCCACGGTCTCTTGCGTACCTGCTTGGTTTCCCTGGAGTTAATATTCTTTTCATTTGCTTAACTTTCTAAGTGCCTACGTCACTAATTCACCTCAGAATTTCAGTACAACCAAAAACGGTAGGAATTCATTTACCTTTTTTTGGAGCACTCTGTCTCCTCTGCCAGGGCTGTTTCCTCCCCAGATCTGTGACCCGGCTGTCGTCCTGAGGAACCCCCTCCCCACTGCTCAGTGTCAGGCTGTCTTATATCTCCCCCTTTGTTGATTTATTGTTCTCATTTTTGATGGAACATGTTCTCTCGTAGCTTCCTGGAAACAGAAAGGATGGGAGATTAATTTTGTGAGCCTTGTATGTAGGACACGTTTTTATTCCAGCCTCACATTTGATATTTTAAGTGTGGAATTGTAGCTGAAAATGTTTTCCATCAAGAAGTTGGAAGGAGTTTCTGCACTGTCTTTTAACTCCCAGTACTGCTGTGAAGAGGTTTGCTGGCCTTCTGATTCCTGCTCTTACACGCGGCTGTGTCCCGACTCGCGTCCCCACCTCCACCCAGGAGTTACAGGACTTTCTGCCTGAGCTCGGAGCATCACCGAAATTTCGTGACGATGTGCTCGTGACATGAGGGTTGGCTCTTCCAGTGCATCGGGTGGTCAGGAGGCCTTCAGCCGTGGAAAACTTTACTGCTTTGCAAATCTTTCTCTTCCTTCTGGAACTCCTATTAGTCAGATGTTGGACCTTTGAATTGATATTCTAATTTCTTATTTTTCTCTCCAATGTTAGCTTTTGTTCTACTTTGTAGAAATGTTCTTAACTTTCTCTTCTAACTTTCCTGTTCACTTTTTAAAAATTTCTGCCATCATACATTTAGTTCTCAGAAATGTTCGTTCTCTGAAACAAAAATTCTTTGGCACTCCCCTGTCATTCATAGATGTGATATCATGAATATCTGAGGATGGCATTATAACTGGTTATTTTTAATAGTTTTCTTCTGTTCCTTTCATTGTCTGGGTTGTGTCAGAGTTCTTTTCTGTGGCGTGGTCCATCTGGCTGCTGTCTTTTGTGGTGGGGACTTCCCTGAATGAAAGGGGGTCTTTGTCTCTTATGTCCTTGGCAGAGGAAGCTAAGAGGAGGTGCTGTGTGTGTGTAGGGGGCTTTACTTCAGGATGAACAGGCAGAAATTCTGCTGTTTTGTTGGCGACTTTTTTATCTTTTTTATCTTTCCTCTCAGAGGAATTCGAGTCAGTGCAATAAAGCAAAAGAAAGAAATTAAAAGCACCAGATTGGAAAGAAGAAATTAAAACTGTCCTTTTTTGCAGGTGACATGACTGTGTACATAAAACATCCTAGGCAATTCACAAAAAAACTACTAGAAATGTTAAACAAGTTCTGCAAACTTTCAGGATACAAGAGAAATATACAAATATCAGTTGTATTTTTATATACTACGTATACTAGCAGCAAACAGTGCGGAAGGAATGAACTCATAACGGCATAAAAAAAGAATAAAATACTTAGGAATAAGTTTTACAAAAGTAGTGCAAGATTTGTACACTGAAAACTACAAAACATTGTTGAGAGAAACCAAGG